CCACAAGATGATAAAACATAGAATCATAGAATCAAAGAGTTGGAAGAGACCTCATGGGCCATCCAGTCCAACCCCCTGCCAAGAAGCAGGAATATTGCATTCAAATCACCCCTGACAGATGGCCATCCAGCCTCTGTTTAAAAGCTTCCAAAGAAGGAGCCTCAACACACTCCAGGGCAGAGAGATCCACTGCTGAACAGCTCTCACAGTCAGGAAGTTCTTCCTCGTGTTCAGATGGAATCTCCTCTCTTGTAGTTTGAAGCCATTGTCCTGCGTCCTAGTCTCCAGGGAAGCAGAAAACAAGCTTGTTCCCTTCTCCCTGTGGCTTCCTCTCACATATTTATACATGGCTATCATATCTCCTCTCAGCCTTCTCTTCTTCAGGCTAAACATGCCCAGCTCCTTAAGCCGCTCCTCATAGGGCTTGTTCTCCAGACCTTTGATCATTTTAGTCCTCCTCTGGACACATTCCAGCTTGTCAATATCTCTCTTGAATTGTGGTGCCCAGAATTGGACACAATATTCCAGGTGTGGTCTAACCAAAGCAGAATAGAGGGGTTGCATTACTTCCCTAGATCTAGACACTATGCTCCTATTGATGCAGGCCAAAATCCCATTGGCTTTTTTTGCCGCCACATCACATTGTTGGCTCATGTTTAAGTTGTTGTCCATGAGGACTCCAAGATCTTTTTCACACATACTGCTCTCGAGCCAGGCGTCCCCCATTTTGTATCTTTGCATTTCGTTTTTCCTGCCAAAGTGGAGTATCTTACATTTGTCCCTGTTGAACTTCATTTTGTTAGTTTTGGCCCATCTCTCTAATCTGTCAAGATCGTTTTGAATCCTGCTCCTGTCCTCTGGAGTATTGGCTATCCCTCCCAATTTGGTGTCGTCTGCAAACTTGATGATCCTGCCTTCTAGCCCTTCATCTAGGTCATTAATAAAGATGTTGAACAGGACCGGGCCCAGGACGGAACCCTGCGGCACTCCACTCGTCACTTCTTTCCAAGATGAAGAGGAAGCATTGGTGAGCACCCTCTGGGTTCGTCCATTTAACCAATTACAGATCCACCTCACCGTAGTTTTGCCTAGCCCACATCAATTGTTCAGGCTTCCCCTAGGCAACATCTTTGCAGATGGCTAATTTTCTCACACCAGAAGTGACTTGCAGATTCTCAAGTCACTTCTAACACAGAAAAAAACAACACCTTGCATTATTCTGAATTGGTTAGACTCCACTTAGCATCACATTATAATCTGCACCAAATATTTCCAACCCAGAACCCACTTCAAACCAAAAAGGAGCATCCTACCATTTTCATGTCATCACTGTCCATACTTATCAACCAATATTCTTTCTTGCTTTGCTGTTAATCTTACTATGAGAGACTTATGGGGAAGGGGTGCATATGTGCTCTATCTCATCCTTTTTGAAATTCTAGACATGGAATATTTGGAGATGGCAACATCTTCTTTATTCTCCCATCCAAATATTAAACACTCCCCGACTCCAGTCAGGCGTGTCTCACAAAACGCATGAACTAAGAGGTGTGTGTGAGTGGCAGAAAGTGTACGTTTGGTTGTCTGAGTGTAAAAATAGATGCACAAACCAGCACATTTATGTGTTAGGTGTGTGACCAGCAGATGTGGTGTCTCAATGTCTTCTAATTTGGCCCAGAGGAGAGGAAAATGAATTATCTTCTTGAAAGTGAAGCAGTACCAAAAAGACTTCTTTGAAAAATTGCACATTTGGATTGACAAATGAAGGCAACCACTGTTGCTGTGCTTTGCTTTGTACCTGAATACAAAGCTCGCTCCTTCCATGTGTGCATGTGTGTATGTTTTCACTCCCATGAACAAAAATGTGTTGAATTGCTGGATCCAAATAACAATTAGAGTGACTCATTTATTAGTTCTTACGTTCCCGCTGTGTGGTGAACTTTTGTACGCAAAATATTAAGTGTGGCCATAATCCTGTCGCTCATTAACAGTGTTTATTTTGCTAGATTTGGCCATTGGCCACAAATAATATGAAGTCCAGATAATTTCAGTTCCAATGTACACATAGTTAGGCAGCTTAAATCCTACTGATTTAAGCAGTTTAACTATGTGTAGGATTGCAGACTATTTAGTTTAATAATTTGAGGTATAACTTTTCCTTGATTTAATTTTCCAAATATTTTATTTTCCATTCTATGTCGTTTTCATTAATTTAGTTTCCAGGTGTTTTCTTTTCTTTCACTACAGTACTTGGGCATTATTTGGAAGGGTTTGCAAAGTTTCTTAATACTTGTGGTTTCATAAAAATTACAGTTGGGTAAGATTGCTATTTATGCATCTTTCAGACTACTTGGATTATGTAAAGTGCTTTGAATGTGAAGACATTCCTGATCAATGCAGATCTTCAGTTCTTATATAGACTCTTCCTTTCCCATTCAATGCAGGTTTGGAAGAGGGGGCTTGGTACATACAGTATATACTTGTGCATAAGTTGACCTCAAGTATTAGTTGAGGGCAGGTTTTAGGGCCAAAATTATGGATTTGATGTGTCCCATCAAGGGTGGTTCCTCAGTGAATTGAAAGGCTAGTGCTCCCATGCCACTGCCACCATTTTTCCACCCAGGCATTCACAAAGGCCAGATGCAGTCTTGTGGTAGAGAAAGTGGAGGGTGTCAGTGCTTCTTTGGGGTCCTCCTGAAACAGACTAAGCTCTTTTGCCACTCTATTCAGAGACAGATTTTTTTTTTAAAGCTAAGGTATAATATTTACATTGACCCATGGGTCAGCTGACCCAGATTTTTAGGGTCAATTTTTGACCAAGGAAGGATTGTTTGGCTGCTGTGTTGATCTGGATGAGGACAAACAAGCTGAAGATTAATCCTGACAAGACAGAGGTCCTCCAGGTCAGTCGCACATCTGACCGGGTTATTGGGTGGCAAGCTGTGCTGGGCGGGGTTGCACTCCCCCTGAAGTCATAGGTCTGCAGCTTGGGGGTCCTCCTACAAGAACCTACTGGCTGTTAGGAATTGTGGGAGTTGAAGTCCAGAACACATGAGGACCAAAGTTTGTCCATGCCTGCTCCAGAGCATGCCCGCTTACACATCCTGCAATTGGGAGAGATGGAGAAAAGTTGTACAGAGCAACAGGAAGCTTCAGCAGATTAGCCTGGTACTTGCTGTTCCTCAACACCAATGTGAAGATGCCCTTGTTATGATAAAATCAGAGAATCTTGTAACACTTTAAAATTGAACACAGGGTGGAAATCATGCAAATAGTGTTGGTCTGGCATTTCCAGTTGCCTTAGCCAGCAGAGAAAACTAAGAAATACTGTGTATATTATAGTCTAGCAACATGTGATCAGGTTCACATGATTCTTACTCCTGGGCTAACAAATGGACAGTGCAATTCTAAACATTTTTTTCTCAGAAAGCAGATGCCATGGTTGCAAAGAGGCTTTCGTTTCTGCAAGTACTCATAGGATTACAATTCTATTGTAGCACAAACATTTACAGACTAGAATAAATTTAATCAAGTGCATTAGAAATGAACAGTTGTGTTGTTAAAGTGCTAAGTATGGAACCCTGCGCAGACAGTTGGTCAATGCGACTTAAGCAATGTGCAGTCATTGAATTCTTGACAGCAGAAGGTGTCACCACAAAGGAGATTCATCAGAAAATGCACGCTGTTTATGGTGATTGTGTTGATGTGAGTATTGTGCACCATTGGGCGAGTAAGTTTGAAGATGTTGAGGTGGGAACATCTGACTTGCGTGAAAAAAAAAAGAGTTTGATGTCCTGTGACAGCAACCACCGAGTTTCACAAGCCAAAGGGTTGACAGCTTGATTCAGGACGATTGTTGTATCCCTCAGAGACAGGGGTGGCTCAACCCATTACGCAAAGTAAGCATTTGCAGTATAGTTGATTTTGCCCAGGGGTGCTCTTGAGGCGCTCTTGGGGGAAAATAGACCTTGACATATGTGTGTTGTAGTTACTGGGATGTATAGGTCACCTACAATCAAAGAGCATTCTGAACTCCACCAATGATGGAATTTAACCAAATATGGCACACAGAACTCCCACGATGAACAGAATATATATATATATCAGTGATTGGTTGGGGGGGGGGGGCGCCAAAATACTGTTTGCTTACTGTTGAAAATTACCTAGGGCCGCCTCTGCTCAGAGACAAATTTCAACATAATTGGCATTTCACAAGAACATGTGGGTCACATTATTGCTTTGCTTGGCTATCGGAAGATCTGTGCACAATGGGTACCCAGGATGCTGACGCCTGAAATGAAAGCACACAGACTTGAAACTTCAGAGACTGGATCTCACTACTGTACGACTTCCTCCATACAGTCCAGATTTAGCACCATCTGACTTCCATCTGTTCCTGATAATGAAAGAAGATCTGCGGGGACATCATTATGCTTCTGCTGAAAACATTGACAGACCTGTGAGACGCTGGTCGCAGAAACAGAGTGTTGACGTCTTCCATGACAGCTTCAGAAAACCTTTTTATCGTTGGCCGAAATGTATCCAGTTGTCTGGTGATTATGTGGAAAAGTGAATAGTGGTAGTTAATGACCACATACTAAGAACTATTTCTGCATTTGATTTATTAAAATATTCCCATCCAAACCCAAGTAACGGTGGAGGCATTACTTTTTATTCAACCCTCATAAGTGACACATGGAAATACATAAGGAAAAAAGTGATCTAGATGTTGCATTTAGCTTCATACAGTATCCTATCAAATTCTTCATTCTAGTATTTCTCTTAATGTTGCAAATTATGCTTTACTCTACTTTTACTTTTGCTTTAAACTACTTTTACTTGTGGGTTAATTTATGCTTTGCTTGGTTATACTCTTGGAAGATTATGATGAGAGAGGATGGAAGAGGAGGAAGTGACTTTCGTTGAAATTTAATTGTCACCGAGCCACTTGCTAAATGCTTATAAGACCTACCTGCCTTCTTTTTTTTTTTTTTTTGCAGAAACATCCATAGAGAGCTGCTGCACGCATGGATATGAATGGGCAAGTCAAAAAAGAGACTGTAGCTCTTTGCCACTAAATCCTGATTCCAAAGAATGCAGGTATTCCTTTGCTTTCTTGTTGTCAAATGCATAAAATGTCCCTGCGGTGATGCCATCGGCCTTGAAAGCTGGATGACCTGAATTCTGTCTTTAGTTCTGCTACAGGTTTTCCCTTATTTCCTTGGAAAATCAAATTTCAAACCCAGGCTTTGGATTTCTTGACATGTTCATTATCTTAAGCTTAAAAAATGCATCCTTTAACCATATTCAAGATCAGGACTCCAAAAAGAACCTTTTTTGGGGGGAAAATATGTTGTCTTGCTTTTCCTCTTTTTATTTTTGAATGTGAATTGTTGATATCCTGGCTTCTATTTCTTTTTAAGTATGGAAAGAATGTGTTTCGCAACCATGTCTGTCACTACTTTCTGAATTTTTGCATTTATATTGGCATTGAAATCTGTCTCCTACACAAAGTGGTTGGCAGATGAAATGTACTTGCTTTAGAAGTTGCTGGAAGAATAATAAAAAATGATGAAACATATACTAGGAGGCAAGGAAAAGGGCAATCACATTTTTTCATCAGTTTGGAATTCTTTTTTATTTTTCAAAAGGAAGAGTACTTTTGTTAATATGACACTGTAGTGTAATTCTTTTCTGAAATAACCTGGTAAGAGAAAACAAGTCACAGTTCTGTGAACCAGGAGTGCACAAGTACTGCCACATGTACAAATGACACAATTGTTACATACATTTAAATAATATGTAAGAAACAAAAAAATGTAATATGTAATATGTAAGAAACCAAGCGGAGGGGGGGGGGTAGGGGACAGTTCCACCTTGTCTTCGGCATATGTCATCAGCTGGGGACCCCTTCCCCAGCACCAACTGCCACTCTGGGCCAGAGTGAAGAGAGCGGGGGGCAGGGGATAGTTCCATCTTATCTCTGGCATATGTCATCAATAGGGGGCCCCTACCTGTAGCACCAACTGATGCTCTGGGCCAGAGTGAAGAGAGGGGGGCCAGGGGACAGTTCCACCTTGTTTCCCGCATATGTCATCAGCTGGGGACCCCTCCCCCAGCACCAAGTGCTGCTCTGGGCCAGAGTGAAGGGCGGGGGGGGGGCAGGGGATAGTTCCATCTTGTCTCCGGCATATGTTATCAGTTGGGGGCCTCTACCTGTAGCACCAACTGCCGCTCTGGGCCAGAGTGAAGGAAGGGGGCAGGGGACAGTTCCATCTTGTCTCCGGCATATGTCATCAGCTGGGGAACCCTCCCTCAGTACCAAGTGCTGCTCTGGGCCAGAGTGAAGGGTGGGGGTGGGGCAGGGGACTTCCATCTTGTCTCTGGCATATGTCATCAGCTGGGGACCCCTCCCCCAGCACCAAGTGCCACTCTGGGCCAGAGTGAAGGGCGGGGGGGGGGCAGGGGACAGTTCCATCTCGTCTCCAGCATATGTCATCAGTTGGGGGCCCCTCCCCCAGCACCAACTGCCGCTCCCGGCCAGAGCAAAGAGGGGGAGCAGGTGACAGTTCCATCTTATCTCCTGTGCTATACTAATAATATAATATATAATACAATGTAATATAATTTATTGTGTATACATATAATATTATATTATAATGTAATGCAATAATAATAATATATTATAATTATATATTTTATATTACATGTAATATTACTAATAATATTACAATATAATGGTATAGTACAATATAGTAATATATAATACTGATATTGTACTATGCTAATAATATAATATATTGTGTGTATATATATCTTCTAAGCCGCTCTGAGTCCCCTTCTGGGTGAGAAGGGTGGCATATCAATGTCATAAATAAATGTGTGCTGAGGAAGAGACTGGCTTTTTGAGCACCAATGCTACAACTGGCCTAGTGGGGATGAGATCACAGTTTCCAAGAAAATTATGTGATCATAGAGAATGCTCGAGTTCGGAGACTGGATCATGTGAATTAACAACCTCATCAGACATGCTGCTGGAATTGCCACAAATCATGGCAAATCTGGTAGTGCCCAGCATGGGGCTTGGGGAACTCGTTGCCCCATACCTCTCATCACCCGGCTTCCTCTCTACGTCATCCCATGGAGGAAGCGTCCGCTGCCCGGCTTCTCCTCATTGATCCAATGCAACACAGGAAGTCTCCTGTGTTGCCGCAGCATCATAATATTCTGGTTCCTCAGCGGTTTTGCAACTGAGCCCTGCCACAAGTAGTTCTACGTCATGGGGCTCCATCACAAAACTGCTGAGGAACCGGTGTTGCCCACGAAAACAACTTTGTCTGATGAGGTCATAAGATTATGTATTTTGTTGTCTTCTCTAAGCTTTCCTGTTTACTCATGATGTGGCCAAAGTACTTCATCTTGGCCTCTACTATCCTTCCCTCCAATGAGCAGTCAGGCTCATTTTCTAGTCTAGGACCACTACATGCTAGTATGTGAAGTTTACCACCACCCTTAATTCTATTTTTCCTAACCTTCTGCAAAGGACCAATTTTTGTTAATGCCCCAGGAAGTTTTTTTTAGCTCCTGCAGAATTTTGATTTGATTAACTAAAAAAACATCTAGAGAAGGTTTAATCCTCTTCTGACCATATGAACTGGCCCTAATCTATTTTGTGCTCCACTCCAACAGGGTTATTTACAAGTGATAAGGAAATGGAGTTCAGCTTCATGCTACATAACTTCTTACTGTTTATGTTATTTATGACCAGCTAGGCTCCTTTTGCTCCCTCAGATCACATACAGTAGTGCAGTCTTGATTGGACTATTTATTTATCGTGTCAGGAGCAAACCAAACAGTTGTATTGCATTTTTTAACGGACAAACAAAACACCAAGTTTGCAAGCTTAGTAGTTGATTAAATGTCCTTTGACCAGTAGCTGGCCACTTGGAGTGACTGAACAGCTGGAGTTTTAGTTCTCCATACCATATTAGTGATCTTGAAGCATAAACAGTGTTTGAGCTCTTGTTGAAGACTTTCATAACTGGAATCCCTATGGTGTTGCATGGTTTCTGGATCCCCTGAAGATGCCAGCCACAAATAGAAGTGAAACGTCAAGGGAAAATGCTGGTAGAACACAGAAACCACACAACACCCCAGTGTTTGAGTTGATATTGTGGTAGCCAAACGGATGTCCCTTTGTTGGTTTTGGTCTTGTTTTGATGTACTTGTACATATTTATTTCTTTTGTTGTTTGAAGAATGTGTTTGGCATTAACATGACCAAATTCTTGGCCTCCAACAATTCAGTTAGTTGGTTTCTTGCTTCATATCTTGATCCTAAACCAAATTTGCTACAATCTTTGTTTTTGCTACATTTCTTATTTTGCATTTGAATAAATTATAATTAACAAGAATTCCTGTTAATTATGTGTGATCAATTTCCTCTTGAATGCCTTATTTCCCCTTTGTGGTTGGAGCATAACTCGGATTATGGTCATATTAGTAGCTTTTCCCTAAAGTCTTAATGACATGATTGGATCTACACTACCGTATAATGCAGTTTCTGAATGCAGATTAACATCCATGAATGGGATTATATGGCAGTCTAGATTTATATAATCCAATTCAATGCAGCTAATCTACATTCTGAAACTGCATTATACGGTAGTGTAGATCGTGGTTGTTCCAGTGTGCCTTCCCAGAATAGGAAACTCTTAGCATTATGTCCCAACACACTTTATCAGAGATCTAGGATATCTGCATGCCCATCCCCTCCAAACACTCCACCTGGTCATGCCCAGCACTTTTAATTTTAATTGTTACATTTGGCCCTGCCATTGTTTTTAATAGTGTCATTGTGTGTTGTCAATGTTATTGCTCTGTTTTCTGAGTTATTTTGCTGTCTGTTGTTGCTGTTGTTTTTACTATTGTATTTGGGCTCAGCCTCTTGTAAGCCGCACCGAGTCCTTCGGGAGATTGTAGCGGGGTACAAATAAAGGTTGATTATTATTATTATTATTATTATTATTATTATTATTATTATAGAATCAGCCTGAGGTATATCCTTTGACCCCTTTTGCTACATCTCTCTTCACTATAGAAGCCACCCATTTCTTCTTCTCTTCATTTTCTGAGCAAAATACTATGTAATTATTTGATTTAAAATGTTCCTTTCCTGTCCATTTTAGCTTGCTTCATTTCAGTATTACAGTATTTATGCATTCTGGTTTTCCTATGCCTCGCTTCTCTTGATTCATGCTTCTCACATTTTGTTGCGTCTCAGGTTAAGCTTCACCTTGCTCTCTGACAAACCAGCCAAACTTGAGAAGAAAGAAGTTTATTGAAGTTTCAAACAAATCCAAGTAAAAACAGTAAAAAGTTCAATAGTACAAAGTATAGGTCTCATAAGTTCTGTTGATTCAAAGCAGGAAAATTGAGGCAAAGAAGCAGGATACAATCCAGGCAATAGCATGAAGTTACAGGAAGCAAATGAACCCCAAGGCCAAGCCCTAGAGCCAAAGGTACAGCAATCCATATTGCAAAGTTGGATCTGACACTGAATCAGCTTTCAAGCAGTCTTCTTATAGGAAAAACATCAAAACATTGAACATTAAACAGAACAGCTAACGAGCAGTTTTCCCACCAGCAGATGGCCTCAAGATTTGGCCGCAATCCGTAAACTTCTCCTTAACACCTGCAGCTCGCGCTGACCTTCACCGAGTGTGTTATCAGCCACATTCCTTTCCCTTGAGAACAAGGGATTCTCTCTAGCTACAGACTGTGGCTGAGAAAACTGAGAAATCTGAAATCTCACACCTGCATCTGTATTCCCATTCCCATCATGCCCACTTGCACTCTCAGTCCCATCATGTCCATCATGCTGTTGCTGAACCACAACACATTTCTTACTCCTATAATGCAGCTCTGGACTTTCACCTCTGAGATGGGCATCAATTAAACTTCCCATCAGTCCAATTATATCATTACCCACAGTACTATCTATATTTATGATAATAATAATTTATTTATTTGACCAGTCATATGACCATTTCAAAATAGAACACGAGTAAAAAACAAGGCAAAAAGGTGAGGACAGCAGCTGGCCTTCTATCTACAGTCAGAGCCTTATTTTCCTGGTTCTTGTTTCAGGAAATCTGAATTTATCCTCTGCTCTATCATAACAGCTCAGCAAAAGGAGGTAGAGGTAATTCTGAGTTCTCTGGCTTCTCATTCCACCACCTCCTGCTGCCAAATTGACTGCTAAAGATCCCAAAGATATTGATTTTAATGGTTAAAAAGAATTGGGTGATACCACACTGTGATGGTTTTAAGAAAGCAATGCCTCCTTATGTCCCAGCATTGAATGTTTGCTGTATATATGTTGTGCTCCGCCCCGAGTCCCCTGCGGGGTGAGAAGGGCAGAATAGAAATGTTTTAAATAAATAAATAAATACATTCTATGATTATTTTTTCTGTTTGGTTTACTTATTTGTAGCATAGCCCAGGAGCAGTGCTGTCTCAATCAACTGGAAGAGTTGCACTGTACAGCTGGAATAGATATTGCCAGCAAGCAAGAAGACTGTGATTCACATAACGGTAACTTTACCTGTGAAGACAAAATAACTAAGGTAATCTTCACACTGGTTTGATGACTTTCAGATGGTGTGGATAGAACCGCAAGGTTGTGAGATAGTGAATAAAGGAGATGACCTGCTGATCATGACTGATTTTTTACTATAGTGCAGTGGTTCTCAACCTGGGGTCTCCAGATGTTTTTGGCCTACAACTCCCAGAAATCCCAGCCAGTTTACCAGCTGTTAGGATTTCTGAGAGTTGAAAGCCAAAAACACCTGGGGACCCCAGGTTGAGAACCACTGGTGTAGTGCATGGACCAGTGTTGGGCAGAGCCTTCCCACAGGCCATACTCATCGAACCATTTGGAAAGTTATAATTCAAAAAATAAAATTACAGTCAACCTTTCATGTTATAGGTTTACCTTTTGTGGATTTGATTGTAGATTTGATTAATATGCTCTCACCAGGTGTTCTCTCAGGTAAAAATATAGATTTTCCCACTCTTTCACAGGAGTCCTGTTCCACAACTAAAGTAGAGGGCATACTTGGGTTTTTTTTGTAATCACTCCCTAGGGTGGTGGTTCTCAACCTGTGGGTCCCCAGATGTTTTGGCCTTCAACTCCCAGAAAGCCTAACAGCTGGTAAACTGGCTGGGATTTCTGGGAGTTGTAGACCAAACACCTGGGGACCCATCGGTTGAGAACCACTGCCCTAAGGCATTCCCACATTTAAGTGAAACTCACCAGTGGATTACGAGATTGAAAACTGGAGTCAACACCTGTACCTTTAATGGGTGTGAAGCCCTCTCTAATTTTCATTTACAGAAGCCCTCTCTAATTTTTTCTCTGGCAACGCTTGTTGCTAGACTGGCTTGTTCAACTGTCAAGGTTATTATACTGTGTATACAAAACACTTCGTACATTCCAAATTGTTGTCTATGTAATGTACTTCTGTATGAATTACATTTTCAGCCAACAAGCAATCTCTAGTGGCCAGTTATTAGTTAATACATTGTCAGTGTATTTCCTCTTGATGCTGATGATGCTTGGAAATTCACAGTGATGCCAAATGTTGAGTTTCATGCCCTAAAACAAAACAAAGACACTAGATGTCAGGCTACCACACAAAATGAAAAGGATATATAAAGCACTAGTTTTGTGGCATGAGCTCCCGCTGCCAGCCCCAGCTTCTGCCAACCTAGCAGTTCGAAAACAGGCAAATGTGAGTAGATCAATAGTTACCGCTCCGGTGGGAAGGTAACGGCGCTCCATGCAGTCATGCTGGCCACATGACTTCGGAGGTGTCTATGGACAATGCCAGCTCTTTGGCTTAGAAATGGAGTTGAGCACCAACCCCCAGAGTTGGACATGACTGGACTTAATATCGAGGAAAACCTTTACCTTTACCTAATTTTGCTAAAACTCAGCAGGCCCTAAACAGCCCTCGCCCAATTTACCTGTCCGAACACATCTCCCCTTTCGAACCATCATGGAGATTGAGATCCTCCGGGGAGGCTCTGCTCTCTGTCCTGCCATTGTCACAGGCGCGATTGGTGGGGACGAGAGACAGGGCCTTCTCGGTGATTGCCCCCCGGCTATGGAACTCCTTTCCTGGTGAGATCAGATCAGCCCCCTCCCTCCTGTCCTTCAGAAGGATGGTAAAAAACTTGGCTGTGGGACCAAGCTTTAGGAACAGGGCAATAAAGCAGCTGTTGCACTCCAGAACAGAAACGTTACCCTCTGACTTTAAAACACGCCACACGTTGAGTGAAAAACCAATCCTTTTTATTGAAACTGAGTAAAAAAGGTAGTAGAAAGAAATGCTTGTAAAAATAGGAAAATTTCAAAATGCAAAAGACCAGTAAAATGCAGTAATTCAAAGCAATGTCCACAAAAGATATAAAAACAATCCAAGGCAGTATTCAACAGGTTACAAAGATAATCCAGAAGGTGCTAGACCACAGCAAAATGGTAAAAACCTCTATAAGAACAAGACCCCTTGAACAGGATTTCCATGGCACATGAACATGATTTCCAAACGATACCTGATCTAATAGGCTTTCCCTTGAAGCAAACCTTATATCCCAAAGGGCCAAAATTGGTTTCGTTTCCCCCCATTCTTGCCTCTTATCTGGAGAAACCTTTCGGAGCGACGTAAACATTGAGTTTGTTGTCGATCCTGGCTGAACTCTAGCCGCCTATTTTTCAACTCCCTTTCTGGCTGCTCATTAAAATTTCCAGGTGTCAGATTGTTTTCCAAACTCAAATCTTGAGAGCTCACAGAAAGAGGGAGTAAACCATCATCCTTAAACCCAGCAGGAATATTCTCATGAGAAACTGCCCTTTGCACTGGGGCCTCTTTGTCATTGTCTGCATGAAAATCATTGACCAAACCATCTCCATCTTGCACCTCAGCCTCAGCACCATCATTTCCCTCATCATGTCTCACATCAAGAGCATCATGATCCTGAGCATCATGAAACACAAACACAGACTGATGATTCCCAAAAGCAGCAATAGGAAAGATTACCAGGCCAATTAGATTTGATGCAGATGACCAAGACGGTTTTAAATGTTGTTTTTTAGTATTGAGATAAATATTTTTAATGTTTATGTATGTGTATATGAATTCTTGTCCCGGCATTGAATGTTTGCCGTATATATGTTGTGCTCTGCCCTGAGTCCCCTTCGGGGTGAGAAAGGTGGAATATAAATATTTTAAATAATAAATAAATAAATGATTGGTGCCTCGATATGGGACTTTTGTATGATTTCTAGCATAGAAAAAATTAGGTTATAATTGTGTCACTGCAATATTTGCCAATAGAACCATTCCAAAATGATATATGAAATATATTTATATACTTCCTTTCAAAGCAAAAGCTCCAATGTGATTTACACGGAGAACAAAACACAGAATTCATTCTAATTTCAGTCTATAACTCTGTACTCGAAAAACATATGTGTTCAAATGGATTCTAAATAAAAAGAAAGCTTCCATGACTGCACAGTGTTACAATCTTGCTAGAGAATAATAGAACATGACCACTACTGTGTAAAGCTCATTGGTTATGTGTCACTTGCATTTTGCCAGAAATGCTGTTACTGCTGCTTTATGGGGAAAGTGGCTCAGAAGCAAAGGAACAGCTGTGAGCAGAGTCTACTGATGGGATACCAGTGTGGCTTGGTCTTCAGGGCTTGCTGTGTTGAGGGGCAAGAAAGTGCTGATACCCTAATTGTTGACGGCACTAACAAAGAATTAGGTAAGTATAAATGAGGTGTTTCTCTTGATGTGTTTATCTTGAACTGTTGGGATTAAGAAATTTATCTATCATAGACCAATTTCCATCTCCTGTAACATTAACAGGGTTCCCAACATGGTTGTCAAAAAAGTAGTATCAAGTCACTTCTTCCAACATCATCCCTCACCAGACCGTATCCTGTGCTGAATTGCTCTAGGATTTTCCAAACCCCAAATCCCATAATTTTGTTTGTTAATGAAGCAATTCAAATGAAAATGTGCACCATTAGACATTATCAGCTTGTGGATAAATTTGGGGTCTCCCCTTGTTAATTCTTGAAATCTGATTGCATATTGCATTCTTTGGGCATAATTTGGCATTGACTTTATTTATATGGAAATAGGTTCAAGGTTTTCAGAATATGTCAAAGTGACGTCCAAGTGTCTCCAACCTTTCCAGGCTGCCTTCAAGTTGATATACTTGAGTCTTTTGCAACACTCCCCTTTATATGCTCAACTGTGGCTTCATTGTTAACGGGTGGCAGCCAGGTTACTAACTGGAGCGACTTAAAGCGAGAGGTCTACCCCCCCGGCCCCCGTTTAAGGAGCTCCATTGGCTGCTGTTCATTTTCTGGTCCCAATTCAAGGTACAGGTTCTTACCTACAAAGCCCTGAATGGTTTGGGACCCGCCTACCTGCATGACCGCATTTGTGTTTACGAACCCACGCAATCTCTTCAATCATCTGGAGAGGCCCTGCTCTCACTCCCGCCCCCTTCGCAGGCGTGATTGGTGGGGATGAGGGAGAGGGCCTTCTCTATGGTGGTCCCCCGACTCTGGAACTCACTCCCCAAGGATATCAGACAAGCTCCCACAATGGCAGTCTTTAGGAGGAGCCTGAAACTTGGCTGTTCCAATGTGCCTTCCCTGAATAAAGGAAACAATGCCCTGCTCTTATCAATTCCCTGCAAAATGTCCTCAGAAGTACTTTAACTACCCATTGGGTTGGTCTCCCTACATTATCCTTTAAAACCCTCCTGCTTTCATACATCCTACCTCTGTTCACACCCAGCGTTTATTTTAAAAATTTTAATCTGTTACATGTGGCCATAAGGTTTTAAATTTTGTGTGTTATTGCTTATATGTGAGTTATATTAATTGTACTGTTTTATTTGCTTGCTGCTTTGTTGTTTACTGATGTGTTGTTGGGCTTGGCCTCATGTAAGCCACCCCGAGTCCCCTTGGGGAGATGGTGGCGGGGTATAAATAAAGTATTATTATTATTATTATTATTATTATTATTACAGAGTATAATTGGCCTGTTTGTGGAAAGTTGCTTACTGGACCCTGTGTTCTTCAGACTTAGATAATCTGTATCAATATGCTCATTGTGTCAGAATTATTGATCCTTGGTTTTGATAGTAAAATTTCATAATTTATGTTTGCTTTTTGGTCATGAATTTTGACATGGCTACTCTCAAAGGCTCCCTTTTAAAAATCTATAAAAATGAAGAAAAAAACAATTTTTTAAAAAGTTCTTAAAGCATCGGCCCCCTTTGTAACTTTTTTTGCTGTGCAACAACAACAATAATAATAATAGTAATAATAATAATATTAATAATAATAATAACTTTATTTGTACCCCGCTACCATCTCCCCAAGGGACTCGGTGCGGCTTACATGAGGCCAAGTCCACAATGCATCAATACAAGTAATAACAACAACAATAAACAATTAAAATAAAACTCATAAACAAAAAAGCAATAACAATAACAGTAATACAGCACACATTTTAAAATCTATGGTTCGGCCAAATGCAGTTAAAGTTTAAAAATAATGCTAGGCATGAACAAGGTAGGAGAGATGGGGCGTTGGTGAAAGCATACAAGCAATTCTAAATCAGTGTAAAGTGCATTTAGAGGACATAATGCTGAGGGTTCATTATTCTGGGAAGGCGCACTGGAACAACCACATTTTCAAGCTCCTCCTAAAGACTGCCAAAGTTGTGGCATGCCTGATGTCCTAGGGGAGTGAGTTCCAGAGTCGAGGGGCCACCACTGAGAAGGCCCTCTCCCTCGTCCCCACCAATCGCGCCTACAAGACATTAGATTTGGCAACTCTAAAGAAATGAGACTCACTTGGGAATAAGTTGTGGGCATTTAAAAAGTTGAAAATGAATGGAATTCCATTTGAGACACCTTACTTTTTGAATCAGGATAGTTCAATTTAGAGAGAACACAGTGAAAAGTAACAATAACTTGTATTATTATTATCCACTCAAGTTGTACATGATCAATAACGAAGTGTCAAAATTATACTGAACAAGATGCAGAGTGTTGAGAATTGAAACCTTATGTTTCGTGAATAGGTCTTAACTTGGATAAGCCTAGTACACTTTTGGAGGCCATTGCTCCTTATCTCTTCATTCAAACATGAGAATGACAATCTACCAAATAAAGACCTCTTTTTTTCTGGTATGCACTACAAGGATGGGGATAGCATGGAAAATTAGATAATTTATTGATACAGAATTAGTTAAACAGAATATGAAAAATGAACATGCAAAGATTTTATATTAGATAAAATATTATTTTATATTTTATAGGTATATGTGCCAGAGCAATAACAGATGTAAACATGATTAGATCAGGTGAAATTTTGGAGGAATAACTGGGGGAAAATATGTCTATTATTAATAAAAATAGACAAGTAGAGGATAATTTGTTAGAGGATTGATAGAGAAGGAATTTGTATACATTTCTGTGTTCTTCTATACTGACACTGTAATGCGGTTTGGAACCAGTTTGGGAAGAACCGCTTTTGTTGTGTGGATGATTAAATTGACAGGCCTGGAACTGGTTTGAGGCCAGGTGGGTGATTACATTCACCAGGAGTGAGTGTTTACAATGTGCTTTGCATTTTGGAGAGCCGAATTTAACCATAGGATCTGGGATACACTGGTGAACTCAGACTTACCTGTGATGTCCTTCAATATACTGTAAAAGCACTTCAATCTGTGCTGCAGCGTGCATTGGTGGAATGTGTTTTGTGGCCATTATGGTTCCAAGTTGTTTTGAAACTGCATTATAGTGTCAGTATAGATGACACCCTCCAGAAGGGTGGGGAGAGTGAATGAGATAAAGCAAGATTCTAAATTATGATTTATTGCTGTACTGTTCTATTGTATAAAACAAACATAAAATAATAGTTGGATAATGTGTTGCAACTTACTCAGTCTCCAAATTTGCTTCCTTCTTTAGATTCGGTATCAACAGTGGAGGTTGACCATGAGGATCACTATCTTAATGATCGTTGTAGAGGTGAGCTAATTTGGATTAGTGAACATGGGGAGGTAGAACAGCAATTTGTTTGTAATAGCTTTATACCTATTTGTTTTTGTGTTGTTTTAATTGAATAGTTTTAATAATTGCAAGTTTTAATTCTACTTTAATATTGATATTTTATAGGTTTTTACATTGTAAAGTTTTTAAAGGTTTTGAGGCGCTTTGGATCTCAGTTCCTGAGAGGAAAGTAGGATTCAAGATGACGATGATGATACAAACTTTTAAGTTTGTGGTTGAGTTGAGATTTGAAGGCTTCATAACACATTATATAATACACTAATTCTATAAACAGTTCCCAAGACTATTTTTTTATGCAATTTGCTAAATCTATATATATATAACATGCTCTGTCCGTAATGAGTACCTTAAAAACAAAAAAAACTACGGGCCCAAATGACCCCAAACATATGCACACACGCACACACACAAATATATATGGATGGATGTTGGATCACTGGTTGGTGTTTATATATATAATTACAATATATTATATATTAGTTTTATATATATTGCTATATAATACATATATACTATATAATATATATAATTGTTATATATACTACTATATAATATAATGTTAGAATAGAGTTAGAAGGGACTCTACCATGGTATTGGGGGAGAACAGACAGGAAGGATGGAGAGAAGCAAGGAGGGAAGGAAAGAGGGAAAGAAGGAGAAAAGGAAAGAAAGAAGTACCGAAGGAAGGAAGAAGAGAGAGCGTAAAGGAAAGAAAAAGGGAGGGAAATGCAGAAAAGAGGCAAAGAAAGGAGGAGGGAAAAAAGGAAATAAAAAGTGAAAGAAGGAAGGAAACAACAGGGAGGGAAGAAAGGAGACAAAGGAAGAAGTAGAGAAAGGGGGAGGAAGGAAGGAAAGAAAGAGAAAAGGAAGGATGAAACCAAAGAGTGAAAGAAGGAATGAAAGAAAGAGGCAGAGAAGAAAGAAAGGCGAGAAAGGGGAAGGGGAAGAAAAAGGGGGGAAGGAATAGGTAGGTACCTCTCTTTCGTAATAGTCCAGATATCTACCTCTACTTCGAAAATTCTTACTATAGGCCACTGCAACACATGGCAGGGCACAGCTAGTATATTATAAAATAAATTGTATATTTATCTTCTTTTCATCAATAAAATGGGTTGTGGGGCACAACGGGTTTTTTGTTCCATTTACAAGTCTCCCACAGGAGGTTAGCTGTGGTATTGTGGTACTGTAAATACCAGGAAAGATTCTGGAGCAGATCATTAAGGAGACCATCTGCAATCGCTTAAAAGGAATGCTGTGATTACTAAAAGTCAACATAGATTTCTCAAAAACAAGTCATGCCAGATTAATCTTATATCTTTTTTTTGATAGAGTTACAAGCTTGGTAGATACAGGGAATGCGGTGAATGTAGCCTATCTTGATTTCAGTAAGGCCTTTGACAAGGTCCCCCACAAACTTCTTGCAAACAAACTATTCAAATGTGGGCTAGGCAATGCTACTTTTAGATGGATCTGTAATTGGTTAAGTGACCAAACCCAAAGGGTGCTCACCAATGGTTCCTTTTCATCCTGGAAGTAAGTGACTCGTGGAGTGCCACAGGGTTCAGTCCTGGGTCCAGTCCTGTTCAGCATCTTTATTAATGACTTGGATGAAGATTTAGATGGAATGTTTACCAAGTTTACAGATGACACCAAATTGGGAGGGATAACTAATACTCTAGAGGACAGGATCAGAATTCAAAATGGCCTTTACAGATTAGGGAGCTGGGCCAAAATTAACAAAATTAATTTCAACAAGGACAAATGTTGCATACTACACTTGGGCAAATAAAATGAAATGCAAAGATGGGTGACACCTGGCTCGAAAACAGTGCATGTGAAAAAAATCTTGGAGTCTTAGAAGACATCAGGTTGAACATGAGACAACAGTGTGATGCAGCAGCTAAAAAGCCAATGGAGTTTTGGGCTGCGTCCAAAGGAGTATTGTGCCTAGATAAAGGGAAGCCATGGTGCCTCTCTATCCTGCTTTGGTCAGACCTTTACCTGGAATACTGTGTCTTGTTCTGGGTACCACAATTCAAGAGAAATATTGACAAGCTAGAACATGTCCAAAGAAGGGCAACCAAAATTAGAAAAGATCTGGAAGCCAAGTCCTATGAGGAGCAGCTTAGGGAACTGGGTATGTTTAGTTTGGTAAAAAGAAGACCGAGAGGGCACATGATAACCATGTTTAAGTATCTGAAAGGAAAAGAGATTCCACCTAAACATTAGGAATAACTTCTTAACAATAACAGCTGTTCTGCAGTGGAATATGCTGCCTTAGACTATGGTGGAGGTTTTTAAGCAGAAGCTAGATGGCCAAATGACAGGATTGCTTTTATTGTGTATTCCTGCATGGCAAGGAGTTGGACCTTGTAGTCAGGGCCATAGCCAGAAAAAAAATTCGGGAGGGGTTGAAATTTTGGGGGGGGGGTTGAAAATTTCATGGGGGGGGGGGTTGAAACCTGCCTCCTAGCTCACACTGAAGCAAAGAGCACAGCAGGGGGCAGAGCAGCCTTCAATAGCCTGCAGCTCCGCCCCTGTCAACCACCTCCACCAAGTCTGGCCTCCTTAATGAGAGCATTCAACCCCCCCCCCAACTTGGTTGCTTTGCTAAATCGGCTATTGCTGCAAGTAATGGCAATGTGAATAAATTGTAAATATTTGGCCTTGCATGGTCTGGGGACGATGTACCTGAGGGACTGCCTCACCCCCTACCAACCCCAGAGATCCCTCCGTTCTGAGGATCAAGATCTATTGGAAATTCCCAGTGTCAAGAACTTGCGTCTAACAGCAACCAGACGCAGAGCCTTTACAGCAGTGGCACCATCACTCTGGAATACTCTGCCACCTGAAGTCCATGCCTTGCGGGACTTATCAGCTTTCCGCAGGGCATGTAAGACATATCTGTTTCAACGGGCCTTTGATCTCTGATATTGCTGTTTTTAAATAGTTTTAAATTGTTTTTAAATTGTGTTCGATTTTAGCCTGTTCTTGTAAGCCGCTCCGAGCCCCAGGGGAGTGGCAGCATATAAGTTCGAATAACAAACAAACAAATAAATAAATAAATATTTGCTTGCGATAATGTTTGCAGTTCTGGAGGGACTCTTAATTTTTTGCATCTTATAGACTTAGCATGGGGATTTGGTTAACCAGTTAAAATTCATGAGTAAACTGGTTTTTTAAAAAAAATCTGAAACATTTCGGGGGGGGGGGGGTTGAACCCCTAACCCCCCCCCCCCTCGCTACAGGTCTGCTTGTAGTCTCTTCCAACTCAGTGATCTAGCTATACTTATCTGGAAATGTTCACAGAGTTGGTATAATGTGAACTCATAGTAGCCTTCTCAGTGGTGGCCCCTCGGCTGTGGAACGCCCTCCCCACAGACATTAGATCGGCTCCCTCATTAATGGCATTTCGGAAGAAAGTAAAAACCTGGCTATTTGAACATGCGTTTGAATAAGAAGTGCAATGAATTACAATGAATCATAGGAAATCGGAATAACGGATGACGAACTTGGATTGTGATTTCAGTTATGAGACGCTAATGAGTCACTAATTGATGTTGATTGATGTTTACTGATGTTCATTGCTTAGTGTATTATTGCCTTAATTGTTTTTATATGGTCTATATGTTGGTAGCATTGAATTTTTGCTGCTGTTTGTTTCTTGTTAACCGCTCTGAGTCGCCTAAGGGCTGAGAAGAGCGGTATACAAATAAAGTAAATAAATAGTATAGGTAATTTGTGCACTAGTGTTGAATTTTTGAATTATTAATGTAATAATTTTATGGTTATTGATTTGCTCCACCAGAAGGTATTATGGAGCTAAACTTTACATGTTTGAGGTTTACATTTGAGCTTTTTCATTTACAAAACATTTAGAAAGAACTATGCATCTATCTTACGCTGCCGTTCCTCACAATTATTTTGGTTCTTTAGGAGGTGGTCCTTGCACTCAGCAATGTAGAGATACTGGCACCAGTGTCCTTTGTTCTTGCTTTATGGGGTACCAACTCCAGCCAGATGGTTTCACTTGTGAAGGTAAGGAAATTGTTGTTTGCTTTTATCTTTGTGGTTTTAAACAACTAATCCCTATCTTTGCTCTAGCTGCTAGTTAGATCCTCCCAGTTAATATGCAATCTTGCAAAATCATGTGAGAAACACAAAGGTAAATGGAGCAAAATAAAGAATGATGTATGTGCATGTGGCAATTGTTAAACCAGAGTCCAAATTAATGTGGGAAGACTGTTTGAAACCAGCATAAACTATTCCTTAACTTTTAAAAAATGCCTAAGAAATAAGTAACTTGCGTTCAACACATGTTTACAAGGTTATATTCTCCCTTATATAAATCGCAGATACCCCAGTCCTTGTTGACATAGTCCTGTGTAGTGCCATGGTGGTGCCTAGATGCCAGGGTGAGATCTTTTGCTTTAAAAAAAACCCCACATTGTCCCCTCAGGATGGAGCCCTCGATGGCACAGTGGGTTAAAACACTGAGCTGTTGAACTTGCTTACCAAAAGGTTGCAGGTTCAGAAGTCCCAGAGTAGCTTGACGTGTTCATTCTCTGTAATTTTTTCAGACTTGTGATCCCACCAGTTCTTTGTCGCAGGTAGATGGCATTTGTGGCACAAGTTCCAATGAATCATCTGAGCAATAGTGTTATGCCTCTGCTTGTAGTCTGCGTGATCTTCTTGCAGCTGCTGAGGATGTGATCTATTGTTTCATCTGCTTCCTTTCAGAGTCTACACATTATTATTATTATTATTATTATTATTATTATTATTATTATTATTGGGTGGTGGTGGTGGAGGAGGAGGAGAAGGGTGATTTTTACCCATAAAACCCTGAACGGTTTGGGACCCGCCTACCTACGTGATCGCATCTCTGTATACAAACCCACACGATCCCTTTGATCTTCCGGAGAGGCCCTGCTCTCGATCCCACCAGCATCGCAGGCGTGTTTGGTGGGGACGAGGGAGAGGGCCTTTTCAGTGGTGGCCCCTCGACTCTGGAACTCACTCCCTAAAGACATCAGACAGGCCGCAACCCTGGCAGTCTTCAGGAGGAGCTTGAAGACGTGGTTGTTCCAGTGTGACTTCCCGGAATAATGAATCCCATAGCACTTTGTCCTCCAAAGCACTTTACATTTCCCTGAGTCTGCTCGTATGCCCTCCACAAACACTAGTATCACCTTTCGCTTATGGCCCAGCATTATTTCCAATTTTAACTCTACATTTGGCCTTCCCACTGTTTTAATTATGTGTTGCTTCTTTAATAATGTTGTGTATTTATTGTCTATGTTTTTTAATTGCTTGTATCGATGTTTTATTGCTTTTGTTGTTGTGTTAGTCTCGGCCTCATGTAAGCCGCACCGAGTCCCTTGGGGAGATGGTAGCGGGGTACAAATAAAGTTAATAAATAATAATAATAATAATAATAATAATAATAATAATAATATTTTCACAATTTCAACTACCGTATTTACTCAAATCTAATGTTCACCTTTTTTGACTAAATTACCTTCCCAAAATAAGGGCGCACATTAGATTTGCATAATATGGTAAACACTTTCTTGTGTTTCAGGGTTTTGAAAATTGAGGTGCACATTAGATGCAATTACGCATTAGACTTGTGTAAATATGGTAATTTTACTTGATTTTCTCCCTAGACATAAATGAGTGTATCACTACAAGCAACACTTGTGCCATTGGACAAATTTGTATCAATACCCCAGGATCATTCCGCTGTCAGCGTGAGACCGGTTGTGGAACTGGTTATGAATTAATGGAAAACAATCTCTGCAAAGGTATGTTTCAACATTTGCCCAGGAAAGATCGATATTTGCTAAAGAGTACCGCAGTCCCAGATACTAAATCATCTGGTTCACTTCAGTTTCAATGTGCTAGGCCCAGTTCATCCATTACATAGATAACATTCTTTCTGAATACACATCTGTGTTTCTTGTAGACATGTTTTGAAGTGGGACATGGAGGCAAATATGCAAGTTGGGCTGTTGCTGCCTCATTTTTGTGGTGTTTACAGCAGTCTCTTCACTGCTATATTCTTCACCACCCTTGCTATATTTGACAGCAGGTTTCTGAGCACCAATGAATTTCTACCAAGCCATGGGATAACAACACTGCACAGTTAGTCATGGAGAAACAACTGCTGGAAAGTTTCTCCTTCAGTCCTTGCTTTTTCCACAGTTGAAATAAGGAGGAGGCCTCTCAGTGAGCTTTTCAGTGCTCCTCTTGAGTGTTGAGATGTGTTGCTTGGTTGCCCATATATTTTACATGTAAAACCAGCTTTCTGATCAGTGCCATCGCAACCTGGTACTTCATCCTTACTTACAAAGCCAATAGACTGATTGTCTTCTTTCAAGACTTTGGGAATTGATAGGTCTTGGCTGCTGTTAGAAAACCTTTTAAATACATAATTTGGAAGGAAATGTGGAGAAGTTTGTTTGAACTCTACAATATCACCCAGTGTAGCTTAGATCAACCTTCCTCATCTTGGCATCCATCATCTTTCAGCCAATGGATTGCTTGGAAATGATGGCAATATATAATGCAACACATGTGGAGGGCACCAGACTGGGGAGATTGACTTAGATGCTGCCACAGCATAACATTTTCACTACCTAGTTCAGAGGTCCTCAAACTATGGCCCGGGGGCCACATACGGCCCTCCAAGGTCATTTACCCGGCCCTCACTCAGAGTCAACTTAAGTCTGAAATGACTTGAAAGCACACAACAACAACAACAACAACAATCCTATCTCATCAGCCAAAAGCAGGCCCAAACTTCCCATTTAAATACTAATAAGTTTATATTTGTTTTAATTATTGTATTGTTTTAAAGTTTTTTTTGTACTACAAATAGGATATGTGCAGTGTGCATAGGAATGTATTCATTTTTTTTTCAAATTATAATCCGGCCCAACAGATTGAAGGACTGTGACTTGGTCCTATGTTTAAAAAGTTTGAGGACCCCTGATCTAGTTACTTCCCCATAAATACTCATTCTTATGTGGGGAAATGCATTATGGGATGATGGATCAAGTGAAGCAATTTGTGGAAGGGTGGATTCTTCAGCCCATTGCTTTCCCCTTACAGTTGTGCCCTTATATCTTATACCATTGATTAACATTTTTCCCAAAGAAGATGAGTGAGTATATTCGAGAAGCATGCTCTCCATCACACCAGTTGCCATTGCAGAATCTTAGGGAGCAAGGACAGCATGAATGCACCCATATATAGCCCTCTACTAATAATAGAGATTGGAGGGGAAATCAATCAGTGGGAGAGAGCATTTCACCTATCTCTGCCTGCCAATTCACCACTTTAAATGTGAATTGTTTTAAAATTACTGTATAGACTCAAGTATAAGCCTAGTTTTTCAACCCTTGTTTTAGGCTGAAAAAGTCCCCCTCGGCTTATACTCGAGTCAAGGTTATTTATTATTTTACTCTGTCATTATACCCTATTGGAGCCCCCGGTGGCGCAGTGGGTTAAACCCCTGTGCTGGCAGGACTGAAGACCAACAGGTCGCAGGTTCGAATCCGGGGAGAGGTGGATGAGCTCCCTCTATCAGCTCCAGCTCCTCATGCGGGGACATGAGAGAAGCCTCCCACAAGGATGATAAAAACATCAAATCATCCAGGCGTCCCCTGGGCAACATCCTTGCAGACGGCCAATTCTCTCACACCAGGAGTCACTCCTGACACGACAAAAAATATTATTATTATTATTATTATTGTAATTATTATTTTACTCTATTTATTATTATTCTAGTTATTATTTTACTTTATTATTACATTTATTATTTAATTTTATCAGTGTTATCATTAAATTTATTATTTTACTCTATGATTGTTATTATTCCATTTATTATTTCACTCTATGATTATTCCATTTATTAATTTACTGTCTTTATTATTATTGGAAGGATACATAAGCACATTTACATTGAAGAAGGTTAGGGCAGTCTTATCTTAAATTATAATTTTATATAAATATTCAAAAACATTGAACCTACTGATGCCTCAATTAGATGCCTCAATTAATGTAATTTTTGGTATCTACCGTATATACTCGAGTATAAGCCGACCCGAATATAAGCCGAGGCACTTAATTTTACCACAAAAAACTGGGGAAATGGATTGACTCGAATATAAGCCGAGGGTGGGAAATGCAGCATTTATGAGTCAATTCCAAAATAAAAATAGATACCAATAAAATTACATTAATTGAGGCATCAGTGGGTTAAATGTTTTTGAATATTTGCATATAATTGTAATTCAACATAAGACTGTCCAACTCTGATTCAACCATTATTCTAACCTTTTTCAATGTAAATATGCTTACGTATCCTTCCAATAATAATAAATAGAGTAAAATAATAATAGTAGTAACAATAATAGAGTAAAATAATAAATGTAACAATAACAATAATAGAGTAAAATAATAAATGTAATAACAACAATAATAAAGTAAAACAACAACAACAACAAAGCAAAATAATAAATAACCTTGACTCGAGTATAAGCCGGGGGAGACTTTTTCAGCCTAAAAAAAGGACTGAAAAACTAGGCTTATACTTGAGTATATACAGTATTTTCATTTTGAAATGTACCCGTAGCTTCTGAATTTCTCACCCTTGGCTTATACTTGAGTCAATCCGTTTTCCCAGTTTTTGTGGTAAAATTAAATGACTCGGCTTATATTCGGATCGGCTTATACTCAAGTATATACGGTATATTTCCTTTCTGGACATACTGTTCAGAACCCCAGAAATGAGTCCAATATGAGGAAAAATGGCTTGGGAGAACATATTCTGGAAGGAATTGGCAGAAACAGTTTACCCCTGTTTGCTATTACACTGGCAAATAGATCTCTGTGTTTCCCACAAGTCACGTGTACTTTGAACTCACGCCTACAGAGTAGCTCTACCCTTAGAATACAAACAAATTAGAACTCACCTATTTAAATGTTGCTTTTGTCTAAAGCATAACAAGAAAGCCTTGTGAGACCTTCTGCTAACAAACTCTTTCTTTTGTGATGTACCAGATATTGACGAGTGTGAGACTGGTACTCATAACTGCCTCCCCGATTTTATCTGTCAGAATACTCCAGGATCCTTCCGTTGCCGACCCAAGCAACAATGCAAGAGTGGTTTTATACAAGATGCATTAGGCAACTGTATTGGTAAGGCATGTGGCTCTTGGAAGCCACTTTTCATTGAATTTGGTGTGTTTGCGCCCTCCAATCACTACTGCAAGACTACCTGTTTCGTATTCTGCCACTTGATAATGTTCCCTGTTTATTTTTGTTGCTGCTCCATGTGCTTTGTCTATTCAGGGAAACATTTTCCAGATAGGATTGTAAAGGAAAGCTCTCTTCTCTCAACCTCCCAAGTTTCCGTTTTAATTTAGTATGTGTCCTATTGCAGATATTAACGAATGCCTAACGGGTAATGCTCCTTGTCCTGTTGGGCAGACATGCATCAATACGGATGGCTCCTATGCTTGCCACAGGAATGTGCCAAACTGTGGGCGAGGCTACCATCTTAATGAAGAAGGAACAAGATGTGTAGGTACGTCCCAAAAATGCACTTTAACTAATACTTGCGAATGCTGATCTGGCCGGGGTGGTCCATGCCTTGGTCACCTCTAGGTTGGATTACTGTAATGTGCTCTACGTGGGGCTGCCCTTGAAAACAGCTCGGAAATTCCAACTTGTCCAACGAGCAGCGGCCAGGATGTTAACTGGTGCTCCCTACAGAGAGAGGTCAACCCTCCTGTTCAAGGAGCTCCACTGACTGCCGTTTATCTGCTGAGCCCAATTTAAGGTGCAGGTGCTTACCTACAAAGCCCTAAACGGTTTGGGACCAGCCTACCTGCGTGACTGCATCTCCATCTACGAACCCACGCGTTCACTACGCTCATCTGGAGAGGCCCTGCTCATGATCCCGCCTGTGTCGCAAGTACGCTTGGCGGGGACCCGAGACAGGGCCTTTTCCGTGGTGCCCCCCCCCCCCCGTCTCTGGAACACTCTCCCCAAAGATCTTAGACAGGCCCCTACATTGGCAGTCTTCAGAAAGAATTTGAAGACCTGGCTGTTCCTATGTGCCTTTCCCGATTAGGAAATCTGCAATACCAAGTCCCAGAAGCACTTTATTAGAATTAAGATTGCCGCACACTGCACACTGCATTTGCCCTATAATCCTTACATATCACCTGTCACATCAGCACTTTCCTGTACCTTTAGTACTTTCCTGTACTAATCCTGTACCCTTTATTCTGGCCCGGCCTAGTTTTACCCTGTTTGATGTATTGTTTATTGCTTCTGGTTTTGTTGTTTTAATACTGCTTTAATTGTTTAATTTGCTTTAGGTGTATTGTTCTGTTGTGTTTTGAGGCCTTGGCCTTTGTAAGCCACATCGAGTCCTTCGGGAGATGCTAGCTTGGTACAAATAAAGTTTAATAATAATAATAGTAATAATAATACTCCATCTCAACTTGATTACCTTATTATATTTATATCTCATTGTTTGTTTATTTATTCTCGCATTTCTATCCCGTCTTTCTCAACCCCCGAAGGGGGACTCAGGACGGCTTACAATGGACCCCTTTCCGAAGCCATTACATAATTACAAAATTAAAACCACAATTAGACATAAAAGCATAATTAACAATACATAAGCCATCGTTAAAACAGTAAAACAGTCTCATCAGCCATATCGTCATTCCAGTCACATTCCCTTAAAGTGCTGCTTGCATCTATTGTCCAAAAGCCTGGTCCCAGAACTATGCCTTTAGTTTCTTTTGAAAAACTAGGAGGGAGGTGGCCGATGTTACCTCAGTTGGGAGTGTGTTCCATAGGCAGGGCGGGGGTGGGGGGACCACCGAGAAAGCCCTGTCTCTCGTCCCCGCCAAGCGCATTTGTGCTGTTGACGGGAGCGAGAGCAGGGCCTCCCCGGATGATCTTAGGTTTCGAGGTGGGACATAGGGGTGGATGCGTTCGGACAAGTAAGCTGGGCCAGAACCGTATAGAGCTTTATAGGTCAAAACCAGCACTTTGAATTGGGCTCGGAGGTGGACCGGCAGCCAGTGGAGCTGGCACAACAGGGGGGTGGTATGCTCCCTGTATGTTGCCCCAGTTAGTAGTCTGGCTGCCAACTGTTGAACTAGCTGAAGTTTCCGAACCATCTCTAATAAACTCAAAGCTGTATTTATGGTTTTACACCTCTCTGAGATTACATAATATAGGATGGAGTATAACTATTTCTATCAATAATACATGGTTCTCCCCCTACCCCATCTTATTTTATGCCTGTAACAACATTGTAGAGTAGGTTAGATGGAGTGCTCATCTACAATAGGATTAGGGTGCAGCTACACTGTTGAATTAATGCAGTTTAACACCACTTTAACTGCTGTGGTTCAATGCTATAGAATCCTAAGAGCTGTTGTTTGGTGAGGCGCCAGCACTCCTTGGCCGAAAAAGCTCAAAACCTTGTAAAACTACTACTTCCAGGACTCCATAGCATTGGGACATGACAATTAAAGTGGTGCCAAACTGCATTAATTCTACAGGGTAGATGCACACTGAGGGTGACTGGTACATGGTCACCCAATGGGATTCATAGCTGGGTATAGATTTGAATTTGAGTTCCTTAGTCCACATCCAGCACAGGAATCATGACATCACACAGATCTTCTGGAACTATTTGGAGAGCTTTCAGATGGTGCCATCCTTTTCCTGTTTTTGTTTTACTCTTTGGTACATGGTGCTCGATGACATATACTGCCTCTAAAAATGGGCATTTCTTTTAATTGTCATGTCTTGCTTCTTGTAACCTCCAATACTTTCTCAATAATTATATTTGAAATAATTGCAACTTGTGAAAGTTCAGGATACATTCATTATTTCTTTTTTAAAGGAGCATCTAATTGAACATGAGATAAAGGGCCCTTCCACACAGCCATATAACCCAGTGGAAGTGTGTCACTGTTGGTTCTCCTGGACCTTTCAGCAGCTTTCAATACCATGGTATCCTTCTGGGTCATCTAGCTGGGATGGGACTGGGAGGCACCGTTCTTCAGTGGCTCCATTCCTTCCTGGAGGGATGTTCTCAGAAGGTGGTTCTGAGGGACTCCTGTTCAAGTCCTTGACTACTAGCCTGTGAGATCCTGCAGGGCTCCACCTTGTCTCCCATGCTATTTAATCACTGGGAGAAGTCACCTAGAGTTTTGATGTTGTAGAAAAAGTAGAAAAACAATCCCAATGTATATATGACACCCAAATCTATTACTCCTTCTCATCTAAGTCTAAGGCAGCAGTTCCTGTACTAAAGTAGTGCTTGACAGCTGTAATGGACTGGATGAGGGCAAAATAATTGAATCTTAATCCAGACAACACAGAAGTGTTCCTGGTTGAAAAACTGATCAAGGAATGGGGATTCAGCCTGTGTTAGATAGGGTTACATTCTCCCTGAAAACACAGGTTCGCAGTTTGGAAGTACTTCTGAATTCATCTCTGAACCTGGAGGCCCAGGTATCAGTAGTGACCAGAAGTGCTTTTGCACACTTAAAGCTAATACATTAACTGTGCCTGTACTTGTAGACATTGTATCTGGCCATGGTAGTACATGCCTTGGTTACATCCTGGTTGAACTACTGTAATGTGCTCTACATGGGGCTACCTTTGAAAAGTGCTCTAAAGCTTCAGTCAGTCCAAAGAGCAGCAGCCAGACTGCTAACTGGGGCTGGCTACAGAGAGTGGACATATCCTCTGTTGCAGCAGCTCCACTGGCTGCCAGCATGTTTCCAGGCACAGTTCAAAGTGCTAGTTTTGTCCATACAACTCTGGTTCAGCTCCAGTTCATGTTATCTGAAGGACCGTATCTCTTTCTATGGGCCTAGTAGACACTGTTCTTCAGTGGCTCCATTCCTTCCTGGAGGGATGTTTTCAGAAGGTGGTTCTGAGGGACTCCTGTTCAACTTCTTAACCACTGCCCTGTGAGGTCCTTCAGGGCTCTACATTTTCTCCCATGCTATTTAATCACCCACTCAAGCATGTTTAGTGGGAACACAGGAGAGGGCCTTTGCTCTGCAAATGAAGGAAGACTGCCTTTTCTAGATGTCCTAGTCATCCGCAAACCAGATCAACAATTGAGTCACACTGTTTACAGAAAACCCACACACACAGATAGATATCTACATAAAAACTCCAACCATCACCCAAGTCAAAAAAGAAGCACCATTAAAGCCTTGGCAGACCATGCAAAAAGAATCTGCGAACCACACCTCCTTCAAGATGAACTGAATCACCTAAACTGGGCTTTACAGGCCAATGGATAGTCCACCTCAGACATCAGAAGAGCAGCAAGACCGAGAACAAGCCACGAGAGTAAAGATGAAGATCCACCCAGAGGAAAAGTGTTCTTGCCATACATCAAGGGAACCACTGACCGCATAGGGAAGCTGATGAGGAAACACAACATACAAACCACCTACAGACCCACCAAGAAAATCCAACAAATACTACGTTCAGCAAAGGACAAGAGGGATCCTCTCACCTCTGCAGGAGTCTACCGTGTACCATGCACCTGTGGACAAGTCTACATAGGGACCACCAAATGCAGCATTGCCCAAACACGAATCAAGGAACACGAAAGGCACTGCAGACTACTTCAATCAGAGAAGTCAGCCATAGCAGAGCACCTGATGAACCAACCTGGACACAGCATTTTATTTGAGAACACAGAAATGCTGGACCACTCTCATAACCACCATGTCAGACTACACAGAGAAGCCATTGAAATCCACAAGCATGTGGACAATTTCAACAGAAAGGAAGAAACCATAAAAATGAACAAAATCCAGCTATCAATATTAAAAAACTCAAAAATTACAACAGCAAAACAACAGAGAGTAAACAATCAGGCACATCAAATCACTCTCAACAAAAGTTTCTCCCCAGGCACTTCCAAACCATTAAATGCTAATCAAGGTGGTCAGTTGAAACATTCACACCTAGCTCCAGCAGACAAAAGTCCTTTGTCCCACCCTAGTCATTCCACAGATATATAAACCCATTTTCCTACTTCCAACAGACCTCACTACCTCTGAGGATGCTTGCCATAGATGCAGGCAAAATGTCAGGAGAAAATGCCTCTAGAACATGGCCATATAGCCTAGAAAAACCTACAACAACACTGTATTTATTGTGTTTTAACTGTATTTTAAACTAACAATACTGTTTGTTTTGTAACTTTCATGTTTGCTTTGTTTTAAATTGATCAAAGTATGTGGTCATTACCTTCTTTTAGTCCCCTTGGAGAGGAAGCAAGGTATAAATAAAGCAAAAGAAATTAAATAAATATCTTTTTCAAACTCTGGCCTGGGAGGGCTGTGCAAAAAGAATAGGACATTATTCCGATAAACCTTTAGCTCCACCTAGTGGGAAACCTCAAGTTGGGAAATTGCATGGAATCTTTAATCCAAATACTAAGGAGAATCCAGGAGCTGTGTTGTGGAGAGTAGTTCAGAGGTTGTTTAAAAACCGCTTGATGGTTCTTGCAAAGTTCTATCTATTATGTAGCATATAGGACCAAGATAGGCAGCAGAGAAAAAGCTCTTTCTTTTCTGTTTGTTTTACACTACAAATTAAGGCAAGTGGAATCCAGCTGTTACTTAACTTGTTGGGAGTGTTATAGAAAAATCTGACACAATAAGTCTCCAGACAAGTAACAATACAGCCAGCATTGGGTTTTCCTAGCCATTAGAAAGAGAGAGAGACCTCATTAGATACCTACCATATTTACTGGAGTTTAATGCTCATCCGTTTTGGCCAAATTACACTGCCAAAATTGAGGTTCACATTACATTGCCAAAATTGAGGTTGACTCAGAGCTCCGTGTTGCCCAAGGAAAGAGGATGAGTGCCCAGCTGGTGATCCAGTCGTTCCTCATTTAGCCATGGTTCATGTCTCCCAGCAGCCCTTGGGATCTCTTGCCCACCCTCCCAGCTCAATCTCATGCTGTTCCCAACTGGTCTAATTCACAAGGCCCTTCAAAACCATCCTTCTATTTGAAGGCCTCATGAATGGGGACAGTTGGGAATTGTGTGCATTTATACTCTAGTAAATACAGTATTTCTAGAAAAAAATCTACTACTAATGAAAAAGCTTTACTTCAAAGAACCACTCATAACCATCAGATGTTCTTGGCTGGTGTCCCTGTGTACAGTTGTTTGGTCAGCTGAGACATTTGGTGAAAATCTCAGAAGTCCCTACAAAATAATCCACTGTGCTTATTATCTGGGCTACAGCATGTTTTGTATTGTTGAACTCAATTTCTGCTTTGATAAAAGAGAAGTCAATTTTTGAATGATGTAATTAACCTTTCATAACTTTTATAAAAAGAAAAGAAAATGTGAAGATACTTGTGGGATTTGAATATTCAATATGGGAATATTTGGGCTATAAGGAAGCAAGAGCTAGAGAAAGGGGAACTATCGTTTTTCACCTCATAATAGTCACACTTTTCCCCCTTTTCATCTTTAAAAAGGGGTGTGCAGGGGCAGCTCAACCCATTACGCAAAGTAAGCATTTGCAGTATAGTTAATTTTGCCCAGGGGCGCTCTTGAGGCATTCTTGGGGGAAGATAGACCTTGACATATGCGAGTTGTAGTTACTGGGATGTATAGTTCACCTACAATCAAAGAGCATTCTGAACTCCACCAATGATGGAATTGAACCAAATATGGCACACAGAACTCCCATGAAGAACAGAAAATATATATCAGTGGTGGTGGTGGGGGGGGGGGGGCTCCAAAATACTGTTTGCTTACCGTTGAAAATTACCTAGGGCCGCCTCTAGGTGTGTGTGACTATTATGCGGTGAAATATTTGGAGATCTACAGGGTCTCCTTTGGCTGGCAGTCAAAGGAGGCCCTGAAGGCAATAAAGACCTATGTGGCCTCCTTTGGCTGCTGTTAGCCAAGGGAAACTCTGTAGGCTTTGCCTTCTGGTGTGCATGAACTAGTGGCCCCTTTGGGGCCTCCTTTGGCTGCAACCAGCACGTGCAAGTGAGCGAGACCCCCGCTTACATGCTTATCAGCCAGAACTAGAGTTCTCTCTCAGCTGCTGCCAGCCAAGAGAAGCCTCCTAGCTCTCGTGACTTGACCCGTCTGTGTACCTGCTTCTCGGAGCTGTGAGGGCTGCTTCAAGTGGCAGGCATGTGGGCAGGGGTGCGACTGTTATGTGAAGAACTGGTAAATACCAAAACTGGTGTCACTACTGTTATGTGATGAAATCTGGGGATCTGATTGGTTTAAAGAACTTTGGGATGGTAGGCAAGAAATCAATTTTTTTTAAAAAATATTGTGTATTAGTTTCATAGGGGCAGGAAACTATATTAATAACAGGGAGAGGATATTTAAGGGTAAAGTTATGGAATATGAGTTAGTATTAGTATATCAAGATTACCATACAATATGTATTATGAGACTTATACCAATAAACAATAAAGATTTTTGAAATTTGCCATTTTAGTTTTTTTTATTCCCTTCCCCTTATGTCTTTGTGTTGTACTTCTACCTTAAATTATTTTTCTAACCTTTCTTTTCCACAAGATGTAGACGAATGTTTGGTACCCAATCAGCCTTGTGGAGAAGGTCACACTTGTACCAATACTCCGGGAAGTTATCGTTGTGAGTGCCGCGCTGGCTACTATTTTGATGGAATCACCAGAACGTGTGCTGGTAGGTAATACATGCAATAACATGCAATAACTGTCTCTTTAACATACAATAAATATATGAAATAACTGTCTATTTAACAGAGCAATCACTTGGTTTGTTAGCTATCATCACATATTAGTTTACAATGTAAAAAAATATTGTTTAATGCTTGAGCAGGAATCCCACTGGAGCATTGCAGCGCACCCAAATACCTGGGAGTCACTCTGGACCATGCTCTGACCTACAAGAAGCACTGTCTGAATATCAAGCAAAAAGTGGGCGCTAGAAACAATATCATATGAAAGCTGACTGGCACAACCTGGGGATCACAACCAGACACAGTGAAGACATCTGCCCTTGTGCTTTGCTACTCTGCAGCTGAGTATGCATGCCCAGTGTGGAACACATCTCACTACGCTAAAACAGTGGATGTGGCTCTTAATGAGACATGCCGCATTATCACGGGGTGTCTGCGCCCTACACCACTGGAGAAATTACACTGCTTAGCCGGTATTGCACCACCTGACATCCGGGAAGTAGCAGCCAATAGTGAAAGGACCAAGGCAGTGACATCTCCAGCTCATCCCCTGTTTGGGTATCAGCCAGCACATCAACGACTTAAATTAAGAAATAGTTTTCTAAGATCTACAGAGACACTCGCTGGAACACCTCAGCAAGCGAGAGTCCAAAAGTGGCAGGCTCAAACCCAGAACCTCAATCCAATGGCTGATACCAAATGAGAGACTCCCCCCTGGGCACACAGAAACTGGGCAACTTGGAAGGCGCTTAACAGACTGCGCTCTGGCACCACAAGATGCAGAGCCAACCTTAGGAAATGGGGCTTCAAAGTGGAATCCACATGTGAGTGTGGAGAAGAGCAAACCACTGACCACCTGCTGCAATGCAACCTGAGCCCTGCCACATGCACAATGGAGGACCTTCATAAAAACACCAGAGGCACTCAAAGTGGCCAGATACTAGTCAAAGGACATTTAATCAACTACCAAGTTTGCAAACTTTGTGTTTTGTTTGTTTGTTAAAAATGCAATACAACTGTTTGGTTTGCTCCTGACACGATAAATAAATATCAACAATACCCAACTGATACTCTGCCAAGACTATTTATTGGTTGAGATGTTGCCATTTCATTATATGTAAAATGACAATCAAAGGATATTGCAAAAGATTCAAATTTTTGCTGATTTTAATAAAATATAAGATTTTATAAAAGATGTATTTGTTGATAGATTTATAAAATTGCCAAAGCCCTTGGTGAACTAGTATCTGATTCTCTAGAGAGATTTTTCAGTGTGAATAGGGACAAGGAGAAGTCCAAATAGTTCCTTGGGTGTTGAAGTTGGCACATGCCCTGACTTCATGGCATAGTATGATTCAGGTGTCCTGCAATAATGATAAATCTTATCATATTTTTTCAGCAGCTTTTGTATGATCTTGGCAGGTTAAGAATTGAATCAAAAGAAAGATATTATGATCACTTTGAAGTCAGAAGAATTCCTAAAATATTGGTGTGTCACTGACAGTTTAAAAAAACAGCATCTTGTTTATATGTCCTTCCCATAAATTTGAGCAGAAATCTTCACAGTGATATATTCCTCTCGGTAGATATTAACGAATGCCGACGATATCCTGGCCGCCTGTGTAACCACAAGTGTGAAAACACAGCTGGTTCTTACTACTGCAGCTGTACAATGGGTTTCAAACTTTCATCTGATGGGAGGTCATGTGAAGGTAAGCTCTATGTTCTATGTTCACCAGTAGTGCAATGTTTAGACTTGAGTCCTATGCTCTTTGACACTGAAGTATGCTTATTGACTTCAGTAGGACTTATGCCCAGTTTAAATATGCATAAAATTATGACTTTAGAGAACCAGTGATCTATATCAGTTTGAATGCCAAATGAGGTATATGATATAGTCTAAGCCCGTGATGGTGAACCTATGACATGCGTGTCAACACTGACACCTTCACCATTTTTGATGACACACGGCACATGTGGCCGCATACAGAGAAGTATGGGGCCACATGCCAAAGACATTTCATCCTTGACTCCTACACGGCCAGGTGCAGGAGCCAAGGATGAAACATTTGCTGTAGTGTAGTATAGACACTCTGCCGGAGGTCTGTAGATCAAACAACAGAACTCCGGCACAGAGCATCTAGTTCTGGGACTTTCATTTAGGCTGTTAGGGGATCTTTGACCTCACTTCTGACCAGCAGAGCAGGGAGCAGCGGAATGTCATAGGGGATGCATCTCTGGGGGCCCTGTGATCGCCATTAACAGCAACCACATAACCACAGCAACCATTGGGACCTGCTATCTCCGCGATCGCATCTTCCCCTATGAATCTGTGCGTACCTTGAGATCATCCAGGGAGACACTGCTCTCTCCCCTTCAACACGCCGTCTCAAACATGGTTGATGGGGATGAGGGAGAGGCCTTCTCAGTGGTGGCACCCTGGCTCTGGAACTCCCTCCCTAGGGAGATCAGACAGGCTCCCACTTTGTCCTCTTTCCAGAGACAACTAAAAACCTGGATGTTCCAGTGTGCTTTTGATGAAGTAGTCCACCAGTAATTTTCCTGTCCCTATTATTATTATTATTATTATTATTATTATTATTATTAAAGAACTGATGGGAGCACAAGCCTGAAAAGGTTACAGAAAATGAACACATCAAACTACTCTGGGACGTCTGAATTCAGACTGGCAGAGTTTTGGAGCACAATACTCCTGACCTCACAATCGTGTGAAAAAACAGAGTGTGGCTCGTCGATGTTGCAATCCTAGGCGATAGCAGGATTGAAAAGAAACAACTGGAAAAGCTGATACAATATGAGAGTTTATAGATCGAACTGCAAAGACTGTGGCACAAACCAGTAAAGGTGGTCCCAGTGATTCAGTGCCCAAAGACCTTGGCCTGTACTTAAACACAATCAGAACTGACAAGATTACCATCTGCCAGCTGCAGAAGGCCACCTTACTGGGATCTGCATGCATTATTCGCCGATACATCACACAGTCCTAGACACTTGGGAAGTGTCCAATGTGTGATCCAATACAACAGCCAGCAGAGTGATCTTGTTTGCTGTGGACTCATCTTGTTGTGTTTCAAATAATAATAATAATAATAATAATAATAATAATAATAATAATAATAATAGCTTTATTTTTATACCCTGCCTCCATCTCCCCGAAGGGACACGTGGCGGCTTACAAAGGGACACTCCCAGCAAATACAGATTAAAAACAAACACAGAAATACAGTAAACAAATAAAAACAATAAAACATCAAGTCGGACAACATTTAATGAGATACATTTAGGATTCTACGTATACAATAAATGGTTACATATAATAAAGTTGCTAATGAATAAAGTCAAAGGTGCTGTTTGGCCCTCATACATTTTTGTTGGTTTCAGACATGAATGAATGCGAAAGCAATCCCTGTAGCCAGGAGTGTGCTAATGTCTATGGTTCCTACCAGTGCTATTGTCGTCGGGGCTACCAGCTTAGTGACATTGATGGGATCACATGTGAAGGTAAGCAGCAATAATTAAGTATGCGATTCACACCAAGCTATGTTATAATCTTTTAGGACCCAGCTCTACTGTGACTAGCAGTGGCTTTTCCAAGGTTGAGGCAGGGAAGCCTTTACCATTTTTTGCTTCCCTAAATCTTTTATCCAAAGACAAGCCATCTCCTACCACGTGTTGCTGTGGCCCAGTCTGCATATATGTGTTTTGTGTGTGTATATATTTGTATATATGTGTATATATGTTGTTTTGTGCATATGTTGTAATGTATTTTTTGTTTTTTGACTTTTTAAGTCTCATGTGTTGTTTTTCAGTGTTTTTTTATGAGTGATGGTCACTCGTTGGCCTGATAGGTGTATTGTGTCCAAATTTGGTGTCAATCTGTCCAGTGTTTTTTGAGTTATGTTAATCCCACAAATGAACATTATATTTTTATTTATATAGACTAGCCATCCCCGGCCATGCGTTGCTGAGGCCCAATCTGTGTATATGTGTTTTTTGTGTGTATGTCTTTAGGTGTGTGCATATATTTGTGTATATATGTATGTTTGCGTATATATGTGTGTGTGTGTGTGTGTGTGTGTGTATATATATATATATATATGGGTGTGCGTATATATTTGTGTATTTGTGTGTGCATACATATTGTGTATATGTATGTGCTTGTCTATATGAATATTTTTGTGAATATTTGTTTGTATGTGTATATGTTTATGTGTGTATTAGGCTTGGATAACCACGGAAAAATTTGGTTCTAAACTCGTTTTGTTTTTAGGAGGCCCTTGCATTTCGTTTTTTTTAATAATTCAGAAATTTTCCTTTAAAAAATTTCAAAATTTACGAAATTTCATAAAATTACGAATCGATTTGTTAATGGCGGACGAGATTGCGCAATATGCTAAAAAAACCTCCAAATGGGACAGGAGGAACTTCTGAAGCTTCCCTCTCCCTCTGTTGTTGACTGTTGGTGTGATAAAACAAACAACAACTATAAAACTTGCACCAGACATGCGAAAATAATTACGAAATAATTACGAAATAATTTCAAAATAATTACGAAATAAATTGAAAAAATTGTTTCGAATCTTAATTATTCCTCACACTATTCCAGCATGGCTCAATATTGGATCGTAAGCTAATTTAAATACGAATTAATAATGAATTACGAAATTAACGAACGAAACCGCCCAAGCCTAGTGTGTATATATGTATATTTGTGTGTGCATGTGTATATGTATATATGTGTGTATGTATATGTATATGTGTGTGTATATAGGTATATTTGTGTGTGTTTGTGCATATATATATATACGTGTGTGTGTATGAATGTGTACATGTGTATATGCATATTAGTGTATTTGTATATGTATATATGGTGTATTTTTTGGGATTTTAAGTCTGTTCCGCTGGGGTTTTGTATGTGTGTGGGTATGTGTGTGTGTGTTTTAGGAGTAATGGACACTCCTTGGCAGGATATGTGTATTGTGTCCAAATGTGCATCAATTTGTCTAGTGGTTTTTGAGTTATGTTAATCCCAAAAAACGAACATTACATTTTTATTTATATAGATGATAGGAATGTCTACCTGTAAAACATGTGTTCTTTCCCATCATAGCATAATTCCAGCATTGGCCCTTAAGCCTGATTTACACATAGCCCTGCCTATCACATATTTGATTAATAACATAACTGTTGCTAGAAAAGATTACCTCAAAGGAATATATTATGATTTATGCTGTACTCAAGGGCAACATTATTAACCACCTCCATTATGTTTTCTGATCACTGGATATATTTTTTCAGATATTGATGAATGTGCTTTACCCACTGGAGGACATATCTGTGCCTATCGATGCATTAACGTTCCAGGGAGCTTTCAATGTACTTGTCCCGCTTCCGGTTATAAGTTGGCACCCAATGCACGAAACTGTCAAGGTATGTTGAAAATGTAACAATTTATTTTGCATGCATAATAAGAGTAAGCGTCATGTGTTTATTGGTTAGTAAAGCTGGTGCTTTGGTTCAAAAGTGTTGCTAAAGTTCTGGTGATGAGAATTCCAGAATTCTAACAAAACTTTCAAAATATCATTATTATTTTGTTATTGGTGATTCTAATCACAGAACCAATTAGGAACTGCCATATATAACAAAATTTTGGAAGTTTTGTTAGAGTTCTGAAATTTTCACCACCAGAACTTTAGCAATGCACCAGCGCCCCCTAGTTTTGTAAGTGCTTTAGAACCATTTAGAACCATGGATTGCCCATGCCTATTGTCTAGATCAGTGTTTCTTAAACTATGGGTCCTGACCCCAAATGAGATCCCCTAGGCTCAATGTTGGGGTTGAGAAAGCCCCCCCCCCCCCCACTGCAGATTAGGACCTGCAGAGGCTGCTGCTTCTATCAAAGGAGGGGGAAAGCTCATCTCAAGCTGCTAAGGGAAGGGAACATTATCTTACTGCACGCTTGTATATAATGGGATTTGAGCAACCATGGGTTTTGGCATCCACTGTGGCTCCTGGAACCAAACCCCAGTAGATACTGAGAGCCACTATGTTTTAATTAAATGGTTTGATTTTAATGTACTTGGAAGTTAGAGATGCCCTAATTATTATTGCTGTGGTACTTCAAATTTTTGGACTATGGTGCTGGAGGAAAATTCTGAGAGTGCCTTGGACGGTGAGAAGATCCAACCAGTCCATACTTCAGGAAATAAAGCCGACTGCTCATTGGAGGGAAGGATATTAGAGGCAGAGATGAAGTAGTATTTTGGCCACATCATGAGAAGACAGGAAAGCTTAGAGAAGACAGTGATGCTGGGGGAAATGGAAGGAAAAAGAAAGAGGAGCCGACCAAGGGCAAGATCAATGTTTCTCAACCTGGGGGTCGGGACCCCTGGGGGGGGGGTCATGAGGGGGTGTCAGAGGGGTCGCCAAAGACCATCCGAAAACACAGTATTTTCTGTTGGTCATAGGGGTTCCGTATGGGAAGTTCAGCCCAATTCTATCATTGGTGGGGATCAGAATGATCTTTTATTGTAGGTGAACTATAAATCCCAGCAACTACAATTCCCAAATGCCAAGGTCTATTTTCCCCAAACTCCACCAGTGTTCATTCACATTGGGGTATATTGAGTATTCATGGCAAAATTGGTCCAGATCCATCATTGTGTGAGTCCATAGGGCTCTCTGGACGTAGGTGAACTACAACTCCAAAAGTCAAGGTCAATGCCCACAAAACCCTTCCGGTATTTTCCGTTAGTCAAGGGAGTGCTGTGTGGTAAGATTGGTTCAAGTCCATTGTTGGTGGAGTTCAGAATGCTCTTTGATTGTAGGTGAACTATAAATCCCAGCAACTACAACTCCCAAATGACAAGATCAATCCCCTGCCAACCCCACCAGTATTCAAATTGGGGCATATCAGGTGTTTATTTATTTATTATTTATTTATTTCGAGGTTTTATATACTGACCCTCTCACCTTCAAAGAGGGATTCGGACCAGTTCACAACATGTGTTAACATACAAAGAATATACAATAACAACACAATGCCATTTCATTACACAATTAAAATGTCAGCACCATACACATTTAAACATTATCATCACAGTTAAAAGAGCCAAATCGTCCAACACCATCACAATACCATTCATCATCCTCCTTTCATGTGGGCAAAGAATTAAATCAGTTGTCAAATGCCGCATTCCACAACCAGGTCTTTGTTAGTTTCCTGAACGTCATGAGGGAGGGGGCAGTTCTGATCTCTAATGGCAGGGAGTTCCAAAGTCGAGGGGCCACCATTGAGAAGGCCCTGTCCCTCGTCCCCACCAGCCGTGCTTGTGCAGGCGGTGGGTCCGAGAGCAGGGCCCCTCCAGACGATCTTAGTGGTCTTGATGGTGTTTGTCCCAAATGTGGTCCAGTCAATGAAAATACATCCTGCATATCAGATATTTATATTATGATTAATAACAGTAGCAAAATTGTAGTTGCGAAGTAGCAACAAAAATAATTTTATGGTTGGGGGTCACCACAACATAAGGGGTCGTGGCATGACTGGGCAAGATGGATGGATGACATCCTTGAAGTGACTGGCTTGACTTTGAAGGAGCTGGGGGTGGTGATGGCCGACAGGGAGCTCTGGCGTGGTCGATGAGGTCATGAAGACTCGGAAACGACTGAACGAATAAACAACACTCCAAATCCTCAGATTTAACCATCCAATATATTTTTAATTGATTTGTATACCTATTTTATATACTTCTATATCTTGGTTGATATAAAAGAATTTTGGGCAAAAGGGGGTCACAAGTTTAAGAAGCTTTGATCTAGAGATGACTGTATCTTTGTCTAGAATTATTGTTACATCTTCTTGTGATGTGAATGGTGTATGGGAAAATCTGACATGCTGACTTTATATGTGAATGATTTAAAAATATATATACAATGATTCCCTGATACGAACACCACACAGCAACTAAATAAAGGTTTGTTGCTTCATTGTGAACAAGGCAATTCCCAATTCTGTCTATCCACAGTAAGCCTCTCTCTCTTTCTCTCTCTTTCTCTCTCTCATTTCTTGATTTGTTTTGTTTTTTTTAAAAAAAAAACAGATATCGATGAGTGTGTGGCAGAAACACATACCTGTTCATATAATGAGACCTGCTTCAACGTTCAGGGTGGTTTTCGCTGTCTGTCTTTAGAATGCCCAGAAAATTATAGGAAATCTGGAGAAACGTAAGTACTTTTCTTCATCTTATGAAATAGCTTGGTGTCAGTATAAGAACCAAACCTGGCAAACCAAGCCAAGCAGTGAGCTCCTTTCTAAGACAGTAGGCTCCTGGTATCTGATGGGATTTAGTTCCAGGACCTCCCATGGACACCAAACTCTGTGGATCCATAAGTCCCATTACATGGAATGGAATTAAAATGGTATCCCTTAAATAAAATGTCCCTTAGATAAAATCAAGCTTTTTTTTTTGGAATTTTTGTGGAATATTTCCAAGCCATAGATGGTTGAATCTGTGGATACAGAATCCATGGATATACTGGGCCGACTCTAGGTACCTGTTGGTGTGTAGAGTACCTTCTGTTCTGTTCTGCGCTGGGCCCGTAACAGCTGTCTTTTCTATAGGACGTATACTTTAAGCCCAGTGGGAAGCCAGGGGGCCTCAAAGAGAGGTTCTCAGGGATTTTTCTGAAGTTATGGTCTTTAGAGTCTTTAATGATACAACAAAGTCTTTATTATGGAACAAATAACAAATCTTCAATGGCTCAAACAACACTTCAAAGCTTTCTTAGTCTAGTCCTCAATGGACTGGTACCTGACTTTGATTAACTGTACTTTCTCTGCAGGAAAAAAAACCCCTCTTTTAACCTCTCCCAGGCTGTTTACTATCTATGCCTCATCGGTGTGGGTGCTACTACCGATTCCAAATGCAGCTGGTTATCGAGTAGACCTACCAGCCGAGGCTTGTAGATATTTCAGATGGAGTTCCGTGGGTCTGTAGTGCTGTCCTCCCTCAGAAAAATCATTGAGAACTTCAGGGTTGTTTTCCCTCTGATTGCTGTGAGGCTGAGAGGCTGTGAGCTCTCAGCCAGAGCCTTGGGACCTTTTCCCTGGAATTTCTGTTTCCCCGGATGTTCTTGGGAAAAGAAGCTTTTCTACGGGACGAGCTGGTCTATGTCCAATAGTTTAGTTTCCTTATGTGAGACTGCCCAAAAAATGGCTCCTTTCCCTCCCAGAGCCCTGAACAAGGGGCGGAACCAAAGCTTAATTATGATGGACAGGAGGCCTGCCCTATGACTGCAAACAGAGAACAGAAAGAAAATAAAGCTGGAGCTCCTGGTACAGCCGTACCAGCACACCTTCTGAGGATATTAATGTTATACATTGTTGATACACTAGTTGAATCAGGTCAAACATGGTAATTATAGGTCATAGACTGGGTGCCATTTCAGACATATTAAGGTCCAGATCTTTACAGGTGTTTTTAATACCTGGATTAAACCGAGCAAATTTGGTTTACTCCAGTTTGAAATGAATTCACCTGAAACATCAACTGGACACCTCAAGCTAATCCATTTTTGAGCCCAAGTTTTAGGGCTGTGTAGACGGGCCCTCGGATGAGTGACAATGAATATGGTATATCAGGCTAAAAATCTTTGCCTGGTTACAGCTGTCGGTTTGTAGCCATACTTTGGTATAAGGGGCAGGCTTTGGGGAGGTGTGGATATGATTGTGGGGAGGCTGTGAGTTTTAAATGCTATCTTAAGTGAATTTATTGTATTTTAATCCATTTTAATCACATGGTTACTATTTAATTGCTTTTTAACTTTTATATTGGAGCCCCCGGTGGCGCAGTGGGTTAAACCCCTGTGCCGGCAGGACTGAAGACCGACAGGTCGCAGGTTCGAATCCAGGGAGAGGCGGATGAGCTCCCTCTATCAGCTCTAGCTCCTCATGCGGAGACATGAGAGAAGCCTCCCACAAGGATGATAAAAACATCAAATCATCCGGGCGTCCCCTGGGCAACGTCCTTGCAGACGGCCAATTCTCTCACACCAGAAGTGACTTGCAGTTTCTCAATTCGCTCCTGACACGACAAAAATAAAACAAAAAAACCTTTTATATTGTGTTTTTTAAACTTTATTAAGTGTGGAATTGTTAGCCTCTTTGTATCTCTATGAGGAGAAAGGCAGGGTATAAATGAATTTAATAGTAATAATAATAATAATTTAGTGGCTTTACAGAAGAAAAGTTTAACACTCTTGAATTAATTTAAAGCAAGGGAAGAATGTAGGTTGTCTGCAATTCCTTCATTTCTTGCCTTGCTGGCATGGTCTTATTTCTTCACTTATATAAAAAAAGCCCCCATTGGTGCAATGGGTTAAACTCTTGTGCTGACAGGACTGAAGACCAACAGGTCGGAGGTTCGAATCCAGGGAGACTGCAGATGAGCTCCCTCTGTCAGCTCCGGCTCCCCATGGGGGGACATTAGAGAAGCCTCCCACTAGGATGGTAAAACCTCAAAACATCCGGGCGTCCCCTGGGCAACGTTCTTACAGATGGCCAATTCTCTCACACCAGAAGCTAATTGCAGTTTCTCAAGTCGTTCCTGACCAAAAAAAAAAACCTTATATAAAATGCACAAAAATATGAAGGTCTATTTTGTCTTTTGTTCTGACCTTGTTTTGCAGTGGGGACACCAAATTTCCTCTGTCCGTAGAAGCAGCTGCTCTGTTTTGAGCCCATGGAAGAAAATGCCATGAATGTGAGGCTTTGCATGTATTGTTTGGCTGAGTTTGATACTGTTGGATAGTAGATGTATGCAGCACTGTAGAGGGTCATTGACTGGAACGGTGATACGGCTGATGAGACTGTTTTACTGTTTTAATGATTGCTGATGTATTGTTTTAATTATGATTTATGTTCAATTGTGGTTTTATTATTGTAATTGTTATGTAGTGGCATCGTATCGCTGCCTATTGTAAGCCATCCTGAGTCCCCTTAGGGGTTAGAGAAGTGACGGGGTAGAAATACCAGAATTCCACATTTATCCATTTATCTTGTTCACTGGGGAAGAAACCTTAAGACTAAAAGCAGGATTTTCCATACAAAATGCCACTCCTTTGAGGCCAGATTACTAACTGGTGCTTCTTACAGGGAGCGGTCAACCCTCCTGTTTAAGGAGCTCCACTGGCTGCCGTTCATTTTCCGGTCCCAATTCAAGGTGCAGGTTCTTACCTACAAAGCCCTGAACGGTTTGGGACCCGCCTACCTGCGTGACCGCATTTCTGTGTATGTACTCACACGATCTCTTCGATCATATGGAGAGGCCTTGCTCATGCTCCCACCTCCCTCGCAGGTGCGATTGGTGGGGACGAGGGAGAGGGCCTTCTCGGTGGTGGCCCCTCGACTCTGGAATTCACTTCCCAGGGACATTAGACATGCCCCAACATTGGCAGTCTTTAGGAGGAGCTTGAAAATATGGTTGTTCCAGTGTGCCTTCCCAGAATAAGGAGAACTCTCAGCAACAAAATGAAGTTCAACAGTGACAAATGCAAGATACTCCACTTTGGCAGGAAAAACGAAATGCAAAGATACAAAATGGGGGACGCCTGGCTTGAGAGCAGTACGTATGAAAAAGATCTTGGAGTCCTCGTGGACAAGTTAAATATGAGCCAACAATGTGATGTGGCGGCAAAAAAATCCAATGGGATTTTGGCCTGCATCAATAGGAGCATAGTGTCTAGGTCCAGGGAAGTAATGTTACCCCTCTATTCCTCTTTGGTTAGACCACACCTGGAATATTGTGTCCAATTCTGGGCACCACAATTCAAGAGAGATATTGACAAGCTGGAATGTGTCCAGAGGAGGGCGACTAAAATGATCAAGGGTCTGGAGAACAAGCCCTATGAGGAGTGGCTTAAGGAGCTGGGCATGTTTAGCCTGAAGAAGAGAAGGCTGAGAGGAGATATGATAGCCATGTATAAATATGTGAGAGGAAGCCACAGGGAGGAGAGAGCAAGCTTGTTTTCTGCTTCCTTGGAGACTAGGACGCGGAACAATGGCTTCAAACTACAAGAGAGGAGAATCCATCTGAACATGAGGAAGAACTTCCTGACTGTAAGAGCCATTCAACAGTGGAACTCTCTGCCCCGGAGTGTGGCGGAGGCTCCTTGTTTGGAAGCTTTTAAACAGAGGCTGGATGGCCATCTGTCAGGGGTGATTTGAATGCAATATTCCTGCTTCTTGGCAGGGGGTTGAACTGAATGGCCCATGAGGTGTCTTCCAACTCTTTGATTCTATGATTCTATGATTCTATATGCCCTCATAATGCACTTTAATACTGACTTAGGATGGATTATGTTCCCTCGTTTCTCTCTGAAAAATCCTATCCCAGTTACATTTTACCTGTTCACATCAGCATATTTTCAATTTTAATTTATTACATTTGGCCTGGCCATTTTTAATATGTCATTATTGATTGTTGTTTTTGTTATGTGATTTATAGGATTTGTATTTTATTGATTGTTTATTAATGTTGTGTTATTGATGTTGTTTGATGTACTTCGGGCTTGGCCTCATGTAAGCCGCACCGAGTCCCTTGGGGAGATGGTAGCGGGGTACAAATAAAGATTATTATTATTATTATTATTATTATTATTATTATTATTATTATGAGCTGGAATGAATACATTTTGTACTAGTAAACCCCAAAACAACTGATGTTGTTCCACAGAATCTGAGGAATATCACTGTTGAGAAGTTTTATAGCAAGTCATAGAAACTTACAATTTCTTCTATAATGTTGTGCGTGAATGTAAAAAAAAATCATTCTTTTCTTTTCTGGAGTTAGTTTTTTTTTTTTAGTGTATACATAACCCAAGATTTAACTTTAAAAAGAAATATATCAAGTTATGTGGCTCGGAATTAAGCCAGGTATAATCATGGTCGAAGAAAAAAAAATCCCAACAGTAAAGCAAAAATAATCCAAAATTAAACCCACGAATCGTTTTCTTTTATAATCATATTTATATTTCAGGTTCGTGTGGCTTAAATAATTGCAGAGTACTGAAGGGTTACACAAAGAGGTCTTTCGACTCTATTGCTATAGGAAATCTTATCCTCCCTCCTTAGCTCAGCAATTGTCCCCACTTCCATCTCTGTCTTCCAGCTTCTTGGGTTTCTCCCGCTGTGTCACCTAGAGAGAAGTCAACATGCCAGACCAATC